GTTAATCTGTTCTGAACCATATGTATATATTTTTTTAAACCACAAAAATATGAAACAAAGTACAGTACAGTATGAAGAGAGAGAACACTAACCTTGCTTGACGTGACTTCTGGCCTGGAGGACAGGAAGGCGGGTGGGGAGGCAGTTATTGTTTGGAGGGAGAGTGCCCCTCCCTACAGGAAGCCACGACCACGTGTCACAGCAGGAAAAATGGCCGCGGATCCTGTTCGTCACCCAATGCGGAGTTCGTGAACAGAAGCAAAATTTTGCGAATGGTGCTGTTCGTGAACTGAATTGTTCATGAACAGAAGCGTTCGTGAACCGAGGTACTACTGTATTATGGATTTTTCCAGAGAGTTAGGCCTTGTACAATAGGAATTAAGCAGTGTAGCCTGTTGCAGAAAATTTCAGAATTTTTTTTTTAAGTTGCTGTGGGAATGGATCTGGAAAGGAGAAATTTAGTTACATTATCCCTTGATGTGGTTTAATTTTCTTACACTATGCATCACTGCAGTATGGTTGGGGTTTAGATTATGTTCATATATGGTCTTTCCATGCATCATCCACTTTAAACCAGTGTAGAAATTGCATTAGGCCCGGCATGTGGCCAGCCCAAAATGTGGCCAACATTGCTCTTGGTTTGAAATGGCTGCAATGATTGCCAATTACTTTCTGAGTCCAAGATGCTTGCTTTGATATGCAAAGCCTTACATAGCTTAGCTCCAAATTTCCTACAGGACTAACTTGTTTCTGGTGGAGCTTCTGGTGAGGATTCATGGTGAACTAGATGTCCCCAAAGGAGTGGGGACAGCACTGTGGCAGAGACTGATGGCCAGACAGTGAATTCTGGCCAGCAAAGTCTCTCTGGAAAAAGAAGAGATTGTGAGATCACTCACTTGTACCCCGGACAGTTGCTCCTCATGAGTAGATTGCAGGAACTGAGAGTTTTGCAATCGGCTCATGAGTTGAACGGCTGGGAGTCGAGGGATTTCAATCAAGCTCACAGCCATAATGCAGCCACAAGGTTCGCAAGAGGCTAATTTCTTAACCACTTTAAAATGTAACTAATTTACAGCTGAAGAGAGATTTTCTGAGCGGCAGGATAAGATTCCATTTGGTGAGTTATTATTTTTTCTGGATTATAAAGGAATTTTAAAAAAAAGGTTTTAAAGAGTTAAAAACTTCTGGCAAAAAGCTTAACAAGGATGCAAGAAAGTTTAAAATGGATAAAGGGGACAGTTATTTTGAAAGATTATTTTTTGGTGAAAGTGCTTTTGAACAAATCAGAATTAAATTAGACAAACAAACTGGACCTTCATGGGAATATTTTTTGTTTATCATTAAAGAGTGCAAACAACTGGTGGA